TGATATTCCCTACCTGCGAGCACTTGACCAGGTACAAGGTGAATGGAGAATGCATGATATCATCTTAATGCATAATTCATACAGTTGTAATGACTTGTGAAGATGGGAGATCGTGGACCGCAACTTTCACGCTGAGTTGATGTTAATGAGTCTATGATTTGGGAGCAGACTTACTACAGCGTCTCACATCACACAACAGCTGTGTGGAGCTTTGGCAAACCGGAAAGCAGCTGTACCTAGCCCGATTCTTCGGGCCCCGGAGACCCTACTCAAGATGCACCGTTCTTCAAGAAATCTCAGAAGCGAGACAGTAATTACAGTAAACAGTTTAGAGCCAAGATCAACACCACGTATTTATATAAGCACGCTCAGAGCTAGTCTGTCCCTGAAACACATTATTTCCTCTAATGCCTAGCCCTCCCTGCAATGCTAAAGCCCTAAATGCAGCAAGTCTTATCTCCCAACTAACTAGGGCTCCATTTCCATTTATATAAGTTTATTTGTTACTAGGGCTGCGCAATATAACCGGTTTATCGGTATTTACCGGTTCAGACATGAAAACGATACGTATTGCGATACGCTGATCGAAAACCGGTATTTTGACATGCATTCGGAAAACTTCGTAACACTCGGACATCTTCGGATATTTCCGTTTTTTGAATTGTTCTTTTCCCTGTTTCATTAGTGCCAAATGTTACTTACATTTTTATTTTATCATGATTAAAAGTGTTTATAAAAGGTTAATCAATCATAGTGACTTTGTTGTGTTTTTGCTTTATAATCAAGCATTAACTCGATTATAAGTAGTTTTTGTTAAAAAAATAATCCTTGCAATATATTGCAATACATATCGTAATATATGCTTCCGCATCGCAATATATCGCAATATGAAAATTCTCTGCAATACCCACCCCTATTTGTTACTATCAAAATTATACATATTCAGGGACTAATCGTTAGTCCAGCTCAGAGCACGGAGTGTAGAATTTCGCGATTTGACCAAATATATATGTATATTATGCAGACATACAACTGGAACCTATATGAATGGCGAGTGAGTGAGTGTGTATGGTTTTACTCCGCTTTTAACAATATTCCAGCAATATCATGACTGGGGACACCGGAAATGGGCTCCACACATTGTAACCATGTGGGGAATCGAACCCGGGTCTTCGGCATGACGAGCGAACGCTTTAACCACTAGGCCCCCTATGTGAACAGATTGGAGGTGAGTTCTCATAATTAAATGGAGGATATATGATTTCTCTAGATTTTGTTATAATGACATGTAGTTATGTCCGTTTTATTAGCTCAAGAAGCATGTTCAGAATGGCCAGTGGGTTCCTGGCTCAGAACCAGTTACAACAACAGTCTGAAGTCATCATAACAGTTTTATTACAAAGAAACCTTCTCTAAAACACTAATCCCATCCATTCAGTCAATGTTCTTACTTGAAAATCGAAGAAATGGGACAACACATAGTGAGTCGTCTTCTCACAACTATTAACAACATTTAAGTCACCCAGCAAGGGCGACATTCGAAATGGGATATTTGGAATCTAAATCCAAAGTCAGCTTTAACCACGTTGAAATTTTGTTAAATCTCGTTTAATCTCTTTTCGGTCACATACTCTAAGGGCAGTGGGTAGCCAAAGATCCGGGTTCGATTCCCAACATGGGTACAATGTGTGAGCCTTTTTCTGACATTAATTTTGTGGGAATACAACTACAAAAGCAGCGGAAACTATACTTCGTCACTTATATTTGCTACAAATGATAGAGATGGAGGGTATTTAGTGGGGAAAAGGCAACCAAGTTAAACGATGTATGAATCTAAACAGCAGTATCATAACAAAAATAGTTAGTTTTTTTCCAATTTCACAAAGCGATAGTCGTAAATTGGATACATAGCATCGACTTACGATAGCCGTAACGCTATGTTCGCTTTGAGGAATGGGATCCTGTGGATTCAGCGTTCAGTGCAAACTTGATCCCATCACCAGCCTGGGCAGAACATATAACCTGTTGTGTGTGGTTGTGTTGAAATCGGTGCTAAACTCAGTCGCTAGTACCTCAAAACGCGTTCTCAGAGAGCACAACTCAGTTGCATGACCTTCCTATAGGCTTGGTCGATGGAACACTGAGAAGGAATGGTCGGCGTTTATAACTGAAATAGACACAACTCCATAACTTACGGCATATACTCAGGGCCTATTGGCTACAAAATCATCTTTCTGAACTGATTCAGCTTACTCGACAACTGAACTGATCATCCAATCAGATTACACTCATGAACGAGAAATGTTTTGTGCCAAGATGGCGAAACTTTGGGAGGCGGATGAAGCGTGTATTTATCACAATAATGAGTGAGTGAGTGAGTGAGTGAGTGAGTGAGTGAGTGAGTGAGTGAGTGAGTGAGTGAGTGAGGGTGCGTTATGCAACAGGAATCGAACCCAGATCTGTTTGAGAACACTTTAATCGCTGTACCCTGACAGCCCCGTCTGGATAGAAAGGTATGCTTAAAAGCAAAGTCCCAACTTTCGGATTAAAACGATTCTACTTTTGAAATTTTACTGTGATCGATACACAACACTGGAACTTCATTGAACGATTCTTAATAAACTATATAGTGGAGATTCCGGATTTAAAAATGCAGTTCTTAAGACCTGAAGGACCGGGTGCTGAGGTTCAGTGACATGTTTGATTGGGTGTCCTGGAATCCCGGCAGAGTCAAACCCTGGACTGTTTGGTCCATATTTGATCACCAACAGGTCGGTAATCTGGAATCAATACCACGTTCAACAACAACACCATACATCAACTGTGACTTGATGCTCACGGAATTTACCCGTGAAGAATTGTTATTCAGTAACTCATGCTTGTCGTGAGAGGCGACTTACGGGATTGGGTGGTCAGGCTTACTGACCTGGTTGACACATGTCATCGTATCACGATACTATGCTGTTGATCACTAGATTGTCCGGTCCAGACTCGATTAATTACACACACACACACACCCGTACAGCTGGATTATGTGTGAGTGCGGCGTAAAACTAAACTCACTCACTCACTGCTCACGGATTCGTGCAACCAGTTGAAGTGGAGGCCTGAGTGTTCGGACTAGGTTGAGAGGGATATCTTAATATAACAACTCTTCACGTAACATCTGTAGTACGCATCAACATTCTCAGCGACCTCAATGCGCTCTATTGGCCGTCGCTGCGAGAAGGCAATCTACTTGTCTACTGACAAAACAGAGGCAAAGTTCAAGCAAACCTAGGCCTGTTTCTCTTCTCTAAGGACAAAACCTTTGGGTAACATCTACAAGAATATCTATAGATATATATCAGTAACATGCTTACTTAAAAATACTATCTACACATCAAGTGAAATGTTTATTGCACATATCAGATCTAATATTTCATATATTAGTTCATCAAAACCAATGGGAAGAATGTCATGTTCCGTCAGTTATGCGAGTCGCAAACGTTTTCTATTTCTTTATTGTTTTCACGAAACGAGGTCTTTGAAATTTTAACCTTACCACAATGTTCCTAAAATAACTCATACATTCCGACCCCAACCTATGAAGCAACTATTAAAAAGTAATCTGGGCCCATTAATCATTTCAAAGATCATTTGGTAATTTGATATATTCAGCCCATGCTGTATGTGTGATGGTAATGTTGTCCCTCAGGATTCAGTTACGCTCGTCATTCCATGCAATGATATCGCTTACAGCCGTGCAGAGTTGCGTCCCTTCGGCCTTCAAAGGTCCGCTGATAACAAGTTCGAATCCTAGATTCGTCCCGATAAAGATCCTGGGCCTAGATTTTCGAAGTTCTATTAGCGCTAACATAGTCGTAAGTTAATGTTAATGTATGGCACTTACGACTATCTTAGCGATAAGCAGTGTGCGAAATAGCCACTTGCCCGCTAGCCCGTGGCTAGTAAAAATCCTGTCGGGCCAGTAAATCTCCACAGTCACTGGTCCGAGTGGCTAGTGAATTTTCATGGGGTCATTTTGTAAATATATCATTCTCTCCGGCTTCTTAAGTTATAATACACTTTTAAATCATGCCAGATTATGGCCTGATAAAAGTGTTCATCAAATTAGCAGCCTAATGGCAATGATGAAACCCGTGTCTACATTCAAATTTCGGGCTTGTGATTTATTTTGGGGGCTAGTAACTCTAAGGCATAGCCAGCCCGACTGGCCAGCAAAATTTGGAAACTATTTCGCACACTGGTATTACGTCATCTCACCTCGACTGTTATTAACCATGAGCACGTCATGTGATTAATCCATGACTCTCCGATTGGTCAATTTTGACAAACTTTTAGTGATGCCTACATCGTTTATTCTAAGCCACATACCGACACTGACTAATACTGACTTATCCGTGACTTAACTCGCCCTTCTCAGTGTTATTAAAACTTGGGTGTTGACGGAAGTGCGATGTATACAATTCTGACAAAGACAGACGATGTTGTCAGAGTGACAGAAGACTTTGTCATCGTGATTTCACGTCACTGGGTTGTTTCGTCTTCATTTTAATCCGCTGGCCTTGTTCCTATACATCAGGGCTGAATTGGGCGGGCAGACTCGCCTTCAGTTGTTTGGGGGTATATAATCTTTAGCATAGTTTCATACAGGAGATCCGTCAACTCTTATTGCTGTCCATAGATGAACATATAGAATAGTATATATAACGATTTTGCAGCATTGCCACAGCAACATTCCAACGATATCACAGCAGAATATCAAAACAGTATTAAGTGAGTGAGTGTGGTTTAACGCCGCTTTTAGCAATATTCTAGCACTTGAACATCACGACGGGCCAGCAGAAATGGGTTTCACAAACTGTATGGAATCGAACCCGGTCTTCGGCGAGAAGAACGTACACTTAAACCACAAGGCTACCCCCATCGCCCCCACAACAATAATCAAGCAATACCACATTATCACCGTTTTGTCACACCATAACGCAACATCAGTGCAATATCGCACACTTTATTTTACAATAATATCAAACACTAGTAATTATTTCATTAAGGAATATTACATTAAACATTCTTGCAATATACAGGAGTTCTCGCGAATATTTTATATCAGTCTGGATCGGGGAAAACTGATCGAAAGCCTGAGCATCGATCCTGCGGTCAGAGTATGATACACCACCAGGTCACAGCAGTCCGACAATAGCAGGCATCCGCTCTCAACTGCTACCTGCAGATCAGATCGTTCATATTTTGTTGGATGGAAGTCTGAAGAAATGCAGGTCTGAGACGGTTATATTTGGCTGAATCCAAACAGACAGGTGTGGTGCGACAAAGGAAGGATTATAATCAAGGTAATTTCGCGAAGTCCATGATAATATGATCCTGCCACCCCAAGGGACACAACTCTGCACAGATATTTGTTGCACCTATCGCAGCTGGCCATTCACAGCCATCATCAACAGAGTAGAGTATCGGCTGGTGAAACCTCCATCAAGTCCGGTACTGACAACCTAGAAAGATAATCATAATCATATTAAGTCAGAAAAATTATGGAAATTAAATATATAACCCATATCTACAGTCTGTGTGTGTGTGTGTGTGTGTGAGAGAGAGAGAGAGAGAGAGAGAGGGGACAGTGTCACGGTTTTAAATTCACTTTGTTTTGTCATCATGACTATGCTCGTACAGTTTTCACAGTTTCAGTGTATAATTCTTATCTTTTTTCTTATTTCATGTTGAAATAGTGAGCCGTTTCCCTTTTCTTCATTTTGTCCCATATTACACAACTCAAACTATTCCATCCCGTGATCATCTAATGATAATGTTGCTCTTGGTAAACCACATTCTGAATCACTTTTGCCCAAGCCCCGGGAGAAGAGATGATATTGTCTTTCAAGTCTCGCACGCACCTGCGAGAGTTCAGCGAGATCGATGCAGCCATCTTGTTGACTTCCTGGAGTTTCGTGCTGCACCTAGAACGAATGTCTGTCTCACTGCCGTTGTAATCTGCATATTTATACGTTCATACCGTAAGTACTTTTGTGGATAGCATGTTCGACTTGATTTTTATTATTTGTGAGATCGTATTGACTGTAGTTCTTGATCCACTGACTGATGAGAAACCGGCATGACAGACGAAGTTCGTGGACTGGATATTTCGTATTGATCGCAACACAACTTATAATTTATCATCACTGATTTAATCCTTGTAACATTGTTGCACCGAATTTAAAACAGAATTAATTCGACTGTAATTGTATGAGTCATATGTAAGTTTGTACAGAATACCTTTTAACTATAAACATGTTGTTTAGTAAAATAATTTCATCGTTTTTAATTGTCTGTAATTTTCTTCTAAGACGTTTCAGTTTATATAGAAAATTTGTTCTTGTGTTTGGATAATTCTATTTGTATATTTATTAAATAGTTATATAGGTGGTCGCGTATTAATACGGTGAATTTTAGCCTGAGAGAGTATGATAATCCAACAGAGGATTAGTCATCAATTGTTAGTAGTTGGGAAAGTAGTGTGGCTGTCCAAGCTTGAGTCACCAGTCGCCCCACAAAGGATGGGCATGATACGAAATAAGTCAAAATATGTTTCATGCTTATAAAGATTAGCACAATGAATATACTCATGCATTTTGTAAACACAAAATCTCACATTGACACCAGTGAAAAGGTCCAATGAATGATACATCTGAGAGCTGACATCCAAATGTTTATGAAAATACAGTCGTTTCAAGTCCCCTGAGACAAACTGTAATTATGACACTGTTTATCACTCAGTCACTTATCAATGGCAGCATAAGAGATGTTAATTACTCACTTGCTATTTTGGTAGATTGATAAATGGGGCTACAGAATAGGATCAAAATATTTTATCATGTAATGGTGTAATTGCTAACATTGACATATTGCTAACATTGGCATAAGTAGACATGGTAGAGACATTGTAGTATTTGTAAATTGTACAGATGGTGGACCAATGTCCATAGCTACATGTATACTTCAACTTGTAGAATACAAAAGCCAAGCGTTTAAGTTGCAGCAGGTCACTGTCACCATAACCAAGAGTAATATCCTTTGGATGACATAATATTGTTTTTAATCCCAGATTTACCCCAGTAATTTTCCCCAAATGGACACTAGTCTAAATGTGATTGTTTTTTAATAGTAATAGGTGTCCACTGTCAACAACATTGTATACTTTTCATCCATAATCATGACCTTTTAGCACAGGTAACTTGAGTTTCCTGAGTGAATAATGAATACAAAGCCAATGTTTACACATTACAGTGGTTATGACCTCAATGGTAGTTATTCTGAGTCTCTCATATAACTGTTGGCAGCTATGGGGTGGATAAAGCAATGAGTAGATGCTAGTGTTTGAGATCTGGCTTATGGTGCTGTGAATGAAGGTTGTTATTCATTGTAGGTAGTAGTAACTCGTGTTGGGAATTGGACAAAATATCATAATTGATGATTGGTTCATTACAACCGATCAATCATCGAAAATAATTGGTCAGCATCACTTATCAAAATTTTCTGATTATGTTTGTTACTGCACAAAAAATAAAGAAAAAACATGTAGTTCTTATGAGTCTTTTTGCAAATTCCCCAAAATGCATGTGCAAATTTAACATCTTTAAAGGATGAAATTTATGTTAGGAACATAAATTTCCTGGAGTCTTTAAGATAAATTCAATCCTGACTTGGAACCAGCTTGTAATGTTTATGAAATGTAACAGACAAAACCAACCTTGTGATAAATATTGTTAATGCAAACAAGTGTTCCAGAATTGTTTGTGTTCGATTATGAGAAAACATGATCGATTGCTTGGTCGTTTAGTCATTGCAACCAATCTTCGATTATTTCAATTAATCGGACCACCACTAGTAGTAACCTGTATAGTTCTATCAAGATCCTGGTATGACAGATTATTTATCTCACTGTCTGTGTTGTCATCAGCCATTGCTCCAGGACAGTTTATCATTTCGTTTTCCAGCTGAAGTCTGTTCTTTGAACAGCAAAATATTCATGTGCACTGGGTGCAAGTTGGTATAGATAGTAGATTGCATTTTGCAGTTTCTAAATGTTTAAGTAGAGCTCTGTGATGTCTCTTCTTTTACAGGATACCATGCTATGAAGCTCGTGCTGTTGATCACTAGGTAGTCCAATACAGATTGCCAGATTTGCTTTAACTTATAGTTTAACAAACACTTCAGCTTCTAACATGATAGGGGCGGTGGGGTAGCCTAGTGGTTAAAGCATTGGCTCGTCACGCCGAAGACCCGGGTTCGAATCCCCACATGGGTACAATGTGTGAAGCCCATTTCTGGTGTCCCCCACCGTGATGTTGCTGGAATATTGCTAATAGCGGCGTAAAACCAAAGTCAGTCAGTCTAACATGATATATAGCATTCACTTCCTGTGGCAGTTGTGACACTGGGATTTTTAAGTCCCCAGTGTATCTGAATAAGTGACTAATGGATCAAATGGTCAGGCTTGGCGTCTTGGCTGGACGCACGCCATCATACGTCTCCTAATGCCACTTGTTTCAACATCAGGAGCAGTGGGGTAGCCTAGTGGTTAAAGCGTTCTCTCATCACATTGAAGACCCGGGTTTGAATCCCCACATGTGTGAAGCCCATTTCTGGTGTCCCCCACTGTGATATTGCTGGGATATTGCTAAAAGCGGTGTGAAACCCAGCTCACTCACTCACTCACAGATTTAACTTCAGTGTCCCTTATAACATGTTTTACGTTGTTACACTAACTTACAGCCCAATTTTCTCATTGTTGTAGTGATAAATGACAGATTAATCACTGTTGTAAGTGTAGACCAAGATGCTTGTACCCACTGACATCAATACACATTTTGAGTAGTTCTTCCTGGATGGCAACATATTTCTTTTCACGTGTGACTCAGGGCACTTGCAGTGATGTTTAAGTGGAGTTTATGTATATCGAGGCAGTGATTTTGATTGGGACAAATGGAGTAAGGACATTGCCATGATTTGATCACCTTTTGATCATGTTAATGGATGTTCTGCCATATCATTACCCAATCTTTTATAACAGGTTTAGGAAATGTAGGACATGTTGGATTATTATCTTTGTCCTAGAAAAGATGCTTAACTGAAACACTGCAGGAGATAGTCTACAGTAGTTGGCCATTCTCAGATTATGCCAGCATCTAGATGTGTTTGAAGCAGTTGTTATGTAAAAAGTCTGCCAACTTACTTTTCATTTGATTTCCATTATCCAAATTGAGATGAAGCTGAATCACAATTCCATTTTGTGAATGGTACTAAAACCACAAGTATCGCATAATTCATTTTGTGTGTGTCGTTTCCTGGCTTAAAACTGGATTCACACTTGCAACAGGTGCCCATCAACCTGTACTCATCATTAGAGGTGACCAAATTGGTCAGGTTTAGTGCCTTGGTTTATATCGTATATTTTAGGTTAGGTGTCAAATGCATTTTTGTTATATTAAACAAGAATTTTATTTGTTTGTTTTTGTTTTGTTTTCTTGCGAAAGAAAACTTATTCTAATATTGATGGTCTACTTTTGGAATTATATGCTGAAAATATTTATTTTTTCTCATTGGTTAAACAAGAAAATTTGTGTGATAGCACCATTACAGGTTCATTTGACAAATGTCTTCACAAGCTTTTGTTGTCATGTTTCTGTGAACAGTTATATTTACCCCGTAAACATACTTTAACTCTGCTTTGTGGTTGTAATGGAAAGGAATTTCCAACTCTTTATTCCAGTCCTGGTAATTTACTGGTATCAAGTAGACAGTGAGTTGCTTCAGTGACTAAACCAGGGCCAAGACATGTGCTGGTCATTAATTATAAATATGTAGTCATGGTTTCTCAGTAATAAATTTTGTTGGACTCACCGATTTCTGTCCACTCTCGGTTGTGTGTTATAGATTACATCAGTATAACCATGAAGGTTGTGGTCAGATTATGAATGTAATTATATATTCCTGAAAACTGATCATAGCTCATAATGTCTGCATTTAAGTACAGTCGCAGTCCTCTGTAACCTGAAATAATTTTTATTGCTAATAATTATCCAAAATTAGTGTTTCAAATTGAACAGTCATGCGTTACAGAACGGTTTTGTACAGATAATGAGCCAACAATTACAATTAGCAACCCTGGAAGTCTGACTGCTCTAATGATTATTGTCTAGTGGTGGAGGGACTAATATGTAGATAAATGTGAAAATAGATTAATTTGCTACATTCCCACTAAAACTCACTATCCATAGTTAAAGGATGAAATGGTTTGTTTCCACGAAAATTTAATCTTTGATATGTTTTAATACTTTTAGCATGGATAGTGAATTTGTTTATATCTGCGAAGGCAGCAAACTGCCAAATGTCATAGTGTCCCTTTTCATCATGTTCATTATGAAATTAAGAACACAAAGCACTACTTAAACCTTTAGAACTTGCATTTTTGCAACCTAAAACTGCAAATGCAATCTAATATTTATACCAACTTGCACACAATACATGTGAATATTTAGGTGTTCAAACAACACAGACTTCAGCTGGAAAACGGAGTGAGGAACTGGCTTGGAGCAGTGACTCTGATGACTACACAGACAGTGAGTGATATACTGTTGCTGTTCACTTCATGAAAGTTTATGAAACAAGATAGATTGATCTTATCACACCCATAATATTTTGTTATAATAATGTTCTGATCAATACCGAATCTCAAGATGATATATAGCTGTATATTGAGCTACATGTGCAACCTGTTTTTGTCCGGTGCAGCAAGGTTCTTATCTAAGACTGCACCAGGTGCAAATAGATTTCATTTCCTGAAACTGACCCAGAAGGTGTTGATATCTTCCACTTGTGCAGCACATCTCCATTGTGTGGGAAGGTTAATCTACCAAAGTAGTTTTGTAGTGGTTGTCCGATTAATTGAAGTAATCGAAGATTGGTCGCAATGACTAAACGACCATCAATTGATCATGTTTTCTCATAATTGATA